ACCTCCTCCTCCTCCTCTCTCTCTCTCTCTCTCTCTCTCTCTCTCTCTCTCTCTCTCTCTTCTCCCTTTCCACGTCGGGCATCGCCTCCCTGATTGTCGCGGAAAACGCGCGAGAGGAATGCCGGCGTCGATCCGACGGGGAAATCGACAGGAATTTCACCGACCGATGTTCGAATTCAATCGGACGATTAAACGCCGTTTCAATCGGCCATTACCGTCCCGTTATTTATTTGCCATTTCGCGAAGAGACGAATTTGAAACGTTTTCGAAATTTGTGGAATTTTAATTCGGGAAAATGGAAATTTTGTAAAAAAGAGGGGGGAGGGGGAGAAGGGAACGGGAGATTTAACGAAGAAGGATGATAAATAATTGTACGGTTACGTGTTCGAATTCATCGAAGATGGATCTTGAGAGGATCGATGGAAATGTATTAAATTTGTGATTGTGATTTTTAAGTTTGCGCGAAAGGAGAACGATTTATGAAAAATTCGTTTGTAACGTAAATATTACGCTTTGCGCTACTTATTCTCGTTAATTAAAATAAGCATGAGAAATTTCGTTTCTCCAAGAATCACTGTTAATTGGCTCGCGTAGCTTTACTTTAGTTAGGAAAAGAGAGTCGTGCTACGTCAACAATTCTTAATACGTTCGCAAAACATTTTCATTTTCTATTTTCGTGGAACTCGCATTTCTCCCTTCTCCGTTTCTTTACATTTCTACTTTGGAGATTACGAAAATAAACATTTGAATCTCCTTCCCCTCCCCCCCGTACAAAAAACTCGCACAAATCCTCGTCGATAAATTAAAGACCAAGCGTCTCATTCAAAACACCTCCGCGTCTTCCCTACGTAAAGAGTGGTCAGAAACGAGTGATCCACTCTTCTAAAAAAAAAAAAAAAAAAAAACGACCCGACAAACAACGCACAATCCACTCTCACGAAACCGAAACTCTTCCCCTTTTGTCTCACCTTTGACGCGAGCAACAAACACGCCTTCGCCTAGTCACTTTGAAACTCAATTTCAACAATAAAAAAAAAAAAAAAAAAACGAAGAATTCGGCTCGCCTTCCCTCCAAGATTACTTTCGAACAGCGCCGCCCCAAAAAGCTCGCAAAGAAGCCGCCGCCTCCGGTTCAGTTCAACGCGAGCGAAGGAGCGAGAGAAGAAGAGTGGATAGGCCTCGGTTATATACAATCTCGCAAAATATTCTCGCAATAAAGAGGTGAAGCTGCCATTCTCCTCCCCGTCAGAATTTTAAGCGTCGCTTTTGACGGCGGGTAAAAGCCCGGTGTCCCTCCAACCAACAGAGAAACAAACCTCTTCTTCTCTCCAGAAGAAAGCAGAAGGAACGCTATAGTTCCGTCGAAAACAACGATACGTTGCACGAACGAGAGAGAGAGAGAAAGGAGAGGAGCGAAACGCCATAACTCATAGCCCATTAAGCGAGCTCGAACTGGGTTGGCTGCCACTTTGATACAGTCCAGGGCATCAAAGGCATTCCGCGCGCGCCCTCCGCGATAAATCTCGATCGCAGCCACCGACTCGAGCCACGTCGGCGAAATCGTGGAGGAGACGCGCTCGATTATCGAGAAGAATGGTTTCTCGAACGCGAGTCAACTCGAGGACTTACGGGGGATCCATCCATCCCAGGGGGATGATTTGTCGCGGCGATTGGACGAGAACGGGGTTCCGATGGATAGCCGAGGGATCGAGGCGCGATGTTATGCCTCTTCGAAAGATCGCTCGCTTCCTCGATGAAAACGTCGTTCCGTGAAAACGTGGTGGATCCGCCACGCGCGAAGACGAACGACTCTTTTATTCACACGCGCTTGCGTTCCTTTTTTCGCTCTTCTTTCTTGGACGACTCCTTTCTTTTCCGGGTTGTTCTGCGTAGAGGATTCTCGCTTTTGTGTGTATGAAATCGAGTTGGTTTCGTTGAACGAAGCAGAGGAAGGTATTTATCGTAGGATGTTGGAAATGTAAATTTGTAAATTGGGTTTACGTTTGTTACGTTTGTTGAATCAATTAAAAATGCGATCATACGGTGGATCGTGTTTGTTAATTTAACCCTTTCGCTACTTTCGAGCGACTATAGTCGCTCTGCATAAGATGCATATGCATCGATATTTTTATCGTCAAAGCAGCTCGAATTGTGAGACGTAAACGCGGCCGCTTTCTCGAACAATCGTGCACATTTTTGGTTAAGGATGTACACGTGTATCGCGTGTGAATATTTCAAAGATCGACTTGTCCAAATTTGGTCTTGAATTTATATAACAGCCATGTTATATAAATAATTGTAATAACGGAATAAAATTATATTATATCCGTATAATATTCTGGATAAGTGGAGTGGAAGAGTTGGGTAGTGGAGGGAAAATATGGAGGGAATGGAGGAATCTTTTGTACGAAACATTCGCGAAATACGAATACGTTTCACGGTGGATATCTGGAAAAAGGCTGTGTACACGTAATACGAGTTAGATTCGCGTATTTTAGAGTAAACGGGAGTCGTATGGGGTAAATAGGGTATTCACCGGGAAGCCCGTAGTATCAGGAAGCCATGGAAATGCCGTTGAAGAAGGTCTAGACGGTCTCTACCGGGTAAAGAGTGTGTGCACAAGCGACGATATCGGTATTGCATCGAAAAGGCTTTCCTTGCTTTATATCGCGGCCGAAAAAAGAAAAAAAAAAAAGAAGAAATAAGAAAGGAGCAAGTAAGAATAAAAGAGGAGGGTGAGAGAAGAGGGGGTGGGGGAGAGAAGAAACAAAACAACAGAGAGAAGAAACAGAGTCGCGATACCTTCTTCTTCTTCTTCTTCTTCTTCTTACACGTTAAACTTCCAATTATCGTGAATGCATTAATGCAGCTTTTCAACGAAATTCCAGGACCATAAACATGTTCACGCCTCTTCGCGTTTCACTGAATACCGGCACCGGTGACGTTTAAAATGCCGAGGACCACCCATCGCTATCAAAGAAGTTCGTAAACGTCATCCGTGTTAATAAAATATTTCTTCGGTGAATGGGACGCGTGTAAAACAAACAAAACTAGCGAACTCCTCTTCTTTTTTCTTCTTTTCTTCTTCTTTCTTTCTTTTTCTTTTTTTTTTTTTTAGGAAGAATCCGATTTTTCGTCGCTTTTATAGGAGGAGGAGTGAGAGGGATCTTATAACCGTGAAATATTATATTTACGAGCGTCTGTCGGATTACCGTGGATAATCGTTTAAAGGATATGGAAATTTTTGACGATTCGTTTCTTCAGCTCGTAACGAATTGGCAATCGGGGAGAAAAATAGATCTTATTTCTACGTGTGTATATATAATCTTGTAACCGTACTTTAAAATTTGAAATTTTGATGCAAACTTATTACACACAATCTTATCTCGAACGTTATTTAAAATAATTTCGCCCGATTCGCAAATTCTCGGCTCGTTAACGTCGTTGGTGGTCCCATAAATCGTCTAGTCAACATCTGGTCGAAAAATTGGAATCCCCTGTTTGGAACGTGTGATTAGCCAAAACTTATAATCAAAGGGATGAACAACGGAGGCCGCGTTAACGATGGCTCAAGTGGTTCGTAGCAACGTTCGATACAAACGAGAGATGGCCGTGCATGCGGGGCATCGCGCCATTAATCCTCATTGCGGGTTGAAGGCCGAATGAGACGCGCGCCTCGGTGATTAATACGGTCGAGTCCTGATCGTGAGCCACCTCGATCGTGGACAGAGCGACAGACAGGAAGAAGATCATCCGTTTAAGCGGTGGAAAACATTTCGATCGTGACCGTGATTCCTTTTCTTTTCTTCTTTTTTTTTTTTTTTCGTCGTCGAATTCTCCTCTCTCTCTCTCTCTCTTCTCTTTCTTTCGCGTTTTAAGCCATCCATCAATCTCTCGTTCGATAAATCCTTTTTGTCCGGGAAGGAACGCGGTCTCGGCGGTCAATTTAACAACATACGAATCTTTTGATTCGATTAAACAAAAAAAAAAATTAAAATGCTAAGATATCTCGATTCCACGTAACGTAACGTATTATCATTATGGATGCACGAACGTAAATAGAAGATGAGATTATACAAAACGCACACGTTGTGTCACATTATCACCATGCTTATTCGTATGAAATAAAGAATAAGAGAAGAATAATTTACAATATATAGAACATTCTTTATTTAACATTCGTTTTTCTCCGAGATAGAAAGTTATTTACCTCGAATTTTCGAATATCAAAATACTTCGAGTAGATGGTGTAAATATAAGCGAGATATCTCGCCAGTGAAAGGGTTAACGATCAAATAATCGGCATCCCTTCGCGTTCCTCCCAGAAAAAGAAAAACGATGTAATTTTATTTCGCGATTTCTGCCGGTTCACTGTTCATATTTAACCTTCGCCCCTTGTTTGGACGCGCGAGGGATGGAACGAAAATAAACAGAGGAGGAGGGTAGAATTATTTAAAAAAAAAAAAAGCGTCGTCTGCCTTCGTATCTAGGTTAATCGTTCGAGAAAGGTGGGGGAAGAAAAAGGAGAATATTTTTATCGAGAGAACGAGACGAGGGATTGAAACAATTTTCCAGCAGTGATGGAAGCGAGAGAACGAGACGTTTCTGGCGTAGAATCGCCACGATTCAACCCCGAATAGATCGCTTAACGAAGCGCGCTGATTTCGGGAAATTGCATCTCTGCGCGCCCCTCACAAAGGGGGTTAATTTTATCGTATTTCCGAATGTGTATTGCATCGAATCTGCATAATGCGCTCTATAAACGAGACACAGGTAATACACGGTTAATTCACTCACCGTCCGTGATGGGGGCCGACGTTTCCGCTATCGAAACTCGAGCTCGCTGTGATGTCTGCATCGGGAATCGCACCAGATTCCATCCCCAGGGGCGCGATGCATTGTGCTGCAAACAAAGGAAATTGCTTTGATTATACACACGTTATATTTCCGTATTCGTCCCGCGTGCACTTTCGCCCCGGGGTGGGGGGGGGGTGGTGGGGAGGGGGAGCGTGATTACCACGCGAATCGAATAGCTTTAATTGTTTCGAAACGCAATCGTGACGCACGTTAATTCGACACGCGCGTTGAACCTCCCTCCCTCCCTGAAAAACGATTAGCACGCTCGTTACATAACGCGTTATAAAACGCGTTATCCTCGAATCTTCAAGTAAGTTTCGTTTTATGTTTCGTCTAATTCTTTCTCGATAACTTTTCTTTTCTCGTTCTTGTTCACGTGGAAATCGAGCTTTGAACTATTTTACCGGAGGGAGGAAGAGTGTGAAACATGGGGCAAAAGTGTAATACAACCAGCTGAAACTAGCAAGGAGGTCGTTAATAAATTAAACTATCGAGCGCGGTGTCGACTGATGCTCAAGAGACCCACTTAGAGCTATGCGTATTAGTTCCGAACGATAAAACCAACCGAAGGATTAATAACCGACGATACTTCGTTCGCGCGGAGAGAAACGAATATTCGATACTCTT